TGTCCTGAACATATGGGGTCTACAGGATCCAGACTAGAGGGGGGACTCTTGGGAGGCTGAGTTCATGCACTGTTGGTACCCAGACTGATCATCCTAAGCCAACACCAAGACATGGCACAGTGATGGAGGGCAGAGCCCATATAGGCTTGGGTCATCTTCCATGTGATTGTCTCTCCAGGATGCTGCTGGGCCCAGATCTTCTTGCCATATGCTGTGTCCTCTCTGTCCCGGCTTGTCTCTCAAACACAAAGAGCTTCCCAGGTGGGAGGTATGGGGCAGGTGCAGGTGACATAGGAGTCTTTCTAGCACACATGCAAGGTGTCCCAGTACCTGAGGGTACCTGAAGGTATCATTCTGTTCAGGGAGCTAAAACAGCTCTGCCTTGTGTTAAGCCAATCTCCTTCAGAAGCCTGTGATGTTCAGAGTTTGGGGCCTCTGGGGTGAGCTGGAATCACCTCTGTGAGGAGTAATCCCCAGTACTGGCAACTAAGAGCCTCTGAAGACCCAGAGCTGCCTGCTGCTCTCCTGCCTGTCCACTGTGCAGAGCTAAAGGGCTTCCCTGCTGCAGAGTCTGAGAGGAGCCTCTGGAGAATTGTTATAAGTTCCATATTTAGATTCTATTGTTTGAATCTGGTACATTTCAGCCTATTCTCCCATTCATACAGTATTATTAATAAAGAAAATTTCCTGAGAAACTTGTTCAGGTTTGATAAGCACTGTAAGGGAATTGCTGTTCTGGGAGACCTGCCATGTCCATGCTGGGGCAACCTTCATGTTGACCAAACACCAGGCAGCTCTGAACACATGGAGGCTCTGGGATGGGAGAAAACCTTGCAGGAATATAAATAAAGAAGCCATTGATGGCCCTGAGGGGGACAGTGGCTCCACGTTCCCTCTCTAAGCCTGGTCCCCTGCTCTCCCACGTGGTCACGACAATCTTTCTACCAGCTTGGCTACACCCTGTTTTCCCTAGGAATGATGTGATTCTATGTGCTCAGCCATACTCAAAAAGGTGGGGCCCTCATCTCTGAGCTCCACCATGGATTTTTAAACCACAAGCTCACTGAGAACTGTATCTGACACCACAACCCAAAGAAGACCGAATGGTGGGTGGGACAGGAGCACTCTCAGCCCACAACCTACCTGCAGCTGTCAACACTCGTATGTTCCGTGATCCTACCTCCAAGGGTGCAGTGTTCAGCTCTTATCCATCCCCTTCCTCCTGTCATGACCCTGCAGCCAAAGACACAGGAGGTGAAAAAGATGTGAGCAACCAACCCTTCCCAGCAGGGTCCACTCCACTGCCCTGTGCTCAAAGGACTATGAGCCGAGCTGAGCATTGCCTAGAACTCAGCACCCACAAAGCACACATCGAGGCCAGGCTAAGCCAAGCTCTGGGCCCATGGAGCACCTCGGGGAAGACCTGAGCCTCTCCTGGGTAGGTTTCCTCCACAACAACATTTCTCCTTCTCGAGGTAGCACCAGCCAAATCTGCACAGGATGGGACCATGTTTAACATTCCGGAGTCCCTTGGCAATACCCAGACTCCTGTGACTCCGTTAGTGATATTAAACATGTGAGGGCGTGAGTCACACTTGAGTTCTCATTGCTGGCAGCTAAATATTCTGAAATCCTCCTGAAATAATCCCATAGTGCTTGATGCAGATGGCCAGCCCACTTTTTCTTAAAATTATGCAATAAAATGTAATGCAATGAAGTGCATTCTGTATCTGAGCTATCAAATAGGGCAGTGCTTAGTCGTGGATACCACTACATTAAAGTTAGAATAAAGGAATAAAAGCTAAAATTAAGCTCATCACTCCAATCTGCCAGAACTCTGGAGCTCACAGGCCACACAGGAGTGGAGGCTGCGATGTAGGAAAACAGGAATTCAGCCCTTTTTTTGCAGCAATTTCCCTCTTGCTCTAGGTCAATGGTGGGAATTCAGAAACACAGGTCCATTTTGACAAGGAGCCAGATCTCACACAAGAGAATCACAGGACATAATATTGACGTCGATGGTAAGAGGACTTTGTCTGCAGATGTCAGGTAACAAGCAGAATCCCTCCTGCCCTGTCTCATGACCTCCCGCCCTCCTGGAATTTGCTAGAACAGAGACTTTGCCCAAGCACCAATACTGTGAACCTGTTCTCCAGCCCAGCATCCGACGGACAGGGAGACTCGGCCACTATCTGCACACAGTATGTTCTGGAAGCAGTTTCTGCTGACCAGCCCAGGAAACCATTCATCCCTCTTCTTCCCTGAAATCAGTATCTGTGCAGAATAAGTCCTAGCCCACTGCTCTGAATTAGGGGTTCCCTAGCTGTTGGAATTAGCATGTGGTGTTCCTTCACATGGAATTCCTGTATTTCTGGGGCATCTCAGTGTAGACATGCAGTTTCACACAAGCACCTTTATCTCTCAGCCTCAACTAGGAGGTCTGTGGACCCCACAGTGTTGATGGCACACGGTGCACCATTCACTGTTCAGTACCTGATCTGCCTGGCCTCTCATGCCTGGAATAACAGTGCTCGAGGCCAAGGTGCTTCCCTTTCACTTCTCTGAGCCAGGTGTCCACCGAGGATCCTATCCACAGGAGGTTTCAGCAACATGTGCCTGGGGAACAATGCTGATGACCAACCCCCAACAGGAAGACTGTCCAAACCCCACAACCCTCATGTGACCCAGTCGCTCTCCATCTCCCTGGGGCAGTAGGGGCACGGCACTTCCTCTGCCGGTTGAGGTCGGGGCTGAGGGGCACACTGCTCAGTGGGCTGAGATGCTCCACAGACACCGAGGGCCTGGTGCATGCAGGACCCACCCACACTGCACGACACACATGGCCCGTGTTGCAGCAGGACGGGGTGAGGAGGTACAGACAGACGTCCACACCCTTTCTCTCCCTGGACAGTGCATGCAGCCAGGCCTGGTGCAGCTCACCTGGTGCTAAGAGGAAGCTGCACCAGCAACAAATCCTCTTAGATTTGTGTACAACACAACCTACCTTTCAGAGTTACAGACTGTGGGTTTTCTTTTTCAAGAGTGATTGACAATAAATTACGAATTGGGCCTAAAAAAAGCTTTCACATTTCTGTGCTCTATATTTCCACTGTGTGCTCAAGTGTGGCTGCAAAACTGTACGTGGGGAAAACATGTTAACCAATTTTCCACTGGTGGAAGTTCTGCAACTGTTCTCTTCCTCCCTATAAGCAAGATCTCCTGTCCCAAAAATACAGTGGTAAGAACTATTTGAGAAGGGAATTCTCTTCACAGTCTGTTTCAGTGTTCTCTGTAGGTTCTTTTCCCTGAGATTCCTAGCACGTCCTTTTGATCCTATTTAACTTTATTCTTAGAATTTCTGCAGTACTTTAAATTCCTGGGAGACATGAGATGTTTAAATTTTAGTTTGGCAAAAAGACAACAGCTCCCCCAAACTATTAAACAAGCTGCTTTCAACCCACTTCCCGAGACAGTCCTTGTTTCCATCTGAAGCCTCGTGAGCACAGCATTCACTGTGCATTTCTATCAGAGTTTGATATTCTAAGCTCTCACCAGAATCCCAGGTGAACTCCCCAGCAGCGCTCCAGGCTGCTCCTGCCCACTCCTCCCCACTTTTCCAAATTCCACTCCTAGACCAACTCCATGGCCTCTCCCAGTGGCGCCCATAGCTCATGTGACTGGGGGCTGTTCCTGATCCCTCCACCCAGTGAAGCCGCTCCCATTTCAGGTTCGCCTCCTGTTTCCCCGAGCTCTGCTCACACTGCTCTGGTCACAGGTCATACCTGTAAGGCCCTCTGGCGGCTCTGGACTCTGGAGATTCAGACTGGAACACAGGATCATCGGCCCACTGTGCCCCTGCACTTCCTGGAGTGAGGACACTGAGCCTCCTGTCAGCAGAGCAGTCACTAGGCACATCCCATGGCCACAGGAGGGCTTCACCTTCAAGAGCTCCTGCCAGCTCTAGGCGCTGTCCCGGTGAGCAGAGGCTCTTCCCACTCCGAGGACAGTGACCCTGCCTGTGCCACTCAGAGAAGCCTCACAACTGGGCGTTCTCTCAGTGCTGTTGCCTTTCACACTTCCTTCACATAGGATGTGCACACCACTGTCACCCAACACAGATGAGATCCTGATGGTAAAGCTCACACGGAAAGAAAAGATTGACATGTGAGGCTTGGCCCCCCACCCCTATTCACACAGGGCCGCACTCTCTTTATTCACAGCCCAGGCCCGGGGCAGTGAAGATCAGCAGGGCTCTTAGCTCACAGGACAGTGTGTGAACAGCTGTGGTGACTCACACTGCAGCAGGAGACAGCAGTTGAACTTTAGGTCCCTAGAAGGAAAACTATTAAAATGGGAAAGGGGAATCGGAGCACAGGAGGGAACGCACATTTATTTCAGCAGTTGGGTCAGTCAGTGTGCTGTTACTGTAGGGAAATACTGGAGACAGCCGTGTAGAAAGAGGAAACACTGATGCAGGCAGAGGTCCCTCCACTCCTGTTCCTGCACCACAGGCATTCAGAGGCTGGGTCTCCATGGAAGGTCTCCCTCTCAGAACGCAGCCATGTGCACCTGTAGACAGGGAGGTATCTCTGGAGTCTGGGAAAACCTTCCTAAGTAGACACTCAGTTAAAAATTACCCAGGAGTGACACTCCAGGGAGGCTCTCTGAAAATGAGTGTCCTGGTTGGAGTCCGGCTTCTGCAGTCATCAAGGACAGAGCCCAGGTCCTTCCTTTAATGACTGGGGCTCTAGCCATGTGGGAAGGTCTGGGACTAAGGGAGAGCTCAGACCTGGGCTGTGATTTTTCCAGGGAGCTCGGAACACTGAGCCTGTAGAAGCCAGAGCCCGGCCCAGGGAGGAGCCGTCTGTCCCCTTTGGGTGGGTCCGCAGAGGCGGGGACCCTGAGGCGGTGCTGCCTCTGACTTTCCACTTCCGTTCATCTGCGCGTCCTGCAGCGCTGAGGTCTCCTTTTTCAGAGCTGGAGCACTCAGAGTAGGCGACATGAAGCCTACCGTGCCCGTTCTGCTGTGCCTGGGTCAGCGCTGGGAGGAGGAGGGGACCAGGCTGGGGCGGAGAGGGGGGAATCAGCTGAGGCACCAGATGGAACCTCTGACAGCACAGAAAACTCTCTTCCAGGGCTGAATCTGCCAATGGGGCTGCAAGGACCCGCAGATGAGTCCTCCCCAGGCCCCGTGTCCTGCCCCATCCTCAGCCCCTGGGCTCACTGGGCGGACACAGGCTTGGGCTGAGGGTGAGGAACTGGGAGAGGCCTTGGAGTGATGTAGGGCACAGAGAAGGACCTGGGCTCAGCCTCTGACTTCCTTGCAGGGACCCTCCCCAAACCCAGGCACTTGGTCGAGCCGAACTCTGTGATCCCCTGGGGGAGTTCTGTGAGCATCTGGTGTGAGGGGATGCTGGGGGCCCAGAAGTACCATCTGTACAGAGAAGAAAGATCAAGGACCTTGGAACCATCAATCCTACTCCCCAACAAGGCCGAGTTCCCCATCTCATCCCTGACAAAAGATGATGCAGGGCGATATCGCTGCTCCTATCACAGCCCTGCTGGCTGGTCAAACCACAGTGACCCACTGGAGCTGGTGGTGACAGGTGAGAGGACACTCAGGGTCCCAGCCTCAGGCTCTGTCCTCAGGAAGGGGTCTGCCCTCAGGGGTGTCCCCCTCTCACAGCCCAACCCTGGGGACAGTGTGGGAGGTGTGAGTGCATTTCACACGCTGCCTCCTTCTCTCCTAGGAGTCTCCAGCAAACCCAGCCTCGCAGCCCTGCCCAGCCCTGAGGTGACCTCAGGAGACAATGTGACCCTCCATGGTAGCACGAGGCAACAATTCGACACGTTCATCTGACTAAGGAAGGAGAAGACAAGTTCCCCTGGATCCTGAGCTCACAGCAACTTCCCAACGGAACGTTCCAGGCCCTGTTCCCTGTGGGCCCTGTGAATACCGAGCAAAGATGGACCCTGAGATGCTACGGCTATTACAGGAGAAGTCCCCAGGTGTGGTCCACACTCTGTGACCCCCTGGAGCTTCTGGTCTCAGGTGGGAAGACCCTGTCCCTGTCCTCTCTCAGCTCAGAGTGTCACTCATGGCCTTAACCCTAGGGAATTTTTCTCAGTTGGAGTGAGGAGGACCTAGGGATTCCAGCTGGGGACGGATCCTTCCTCTAAACCAACAGGGCTCCTCCAAGGAATGCCCTTCTCTGCCCCTTGATTTGAATTTGGAAAGTGCCATGTGGGCATGGGATGGTGTTGGGGAGACTGAGGGGTGATTTTGGACAGCCAGCAATGGCAGGGTGCCCATGGCAGCGCTAGAGGTCACCTTCTCTTGTCTTCATTGCCAGGATCATCTGGTCCCAGTCCCCCACCCTCAGCGCCCACCACCACATCGGGCTCATCCACAGGATGCTCTGGGGGCCCGCTCGCCACACCCTCAGCACCCAGCTCCCCAGCAGGTGAGTCTCGGGCTCTGTCCCGAGTGTCCTTCGTCCAGGCTGCCTGGAGGCTCTCAGCCCACCTCGGCCCTCATTCCAGTCTCAGCTCTGCTGTGTCCAGAGCCCGAGCTTCAAGTGGAGGTGTGGACAGGACCCGGGCAGGAGAATCTTCCTCTGGTCCGTGATGTTCTCATCTGTAGACTGTCTGGGTGGGGACAGCAGTGCCACGTAGCAGGACTGTGAGTTTGAGGTGATGAATGCAAACCCCACACAGGGGAGGGTCATCATTTAAGTGAATCACTTCCTGATGCAGACATCACCCCTGGCCAAGGTCTGGGAAGGAAGCTGAGCATTCTGACTTGGGTCTCGGTGGCCTTACTCCCCCTGCTCGCACTCCTTGTGATCTTACGACTCCGGCGCCATGGCCGATGCAGGAAGGCAGGTGAGGAGGGAGAGGACGGCCTGGGCTCACCCCAGGGAGGGGTCAGCAGCCGTGCTTAGGGCCCCGCAAGCCAGAGGAGCTGGGGTCTGACCCTGTGCTGCAGGAGCCACTGCAGATGCAGCGAGGGCTCCATGCGGGTGGCACAGGGCGGCCTCCTTCTTGTCCCCAGCACCCAGCTCTGCTGCCACCTCCCCAGAGGACTCCTGCAGCCACCAGGTGAATTATCCTCCCCTGCACCCATCTCCTCTCACCCAACTGCCTTTTTTTTCCATTCTTCCTCACCTTGTGGTTTCCTTGCTTAAACCTGCACCCCTTACTTGCAAGGCCATGAGCTCCCAAAGGGCAAGGACCCTCTTCTCTGTCTCAGCCCTGCGCCTCACCAAGCTCCTGCAGGCTGGCACCCAGTGAGTGAGGAGCGGTATCCCGTCAGCCGGCCTCTGCTCCCAGCAGTCTCCATCGCCAGCCCCACAGGGAGCGCCGTCTCCGCCAGGGTTCACTGTCTGTGAGGCTGCGAGTGTGGCTGGACGGCCACCAGCACCAAGCAGTCTGTGTCCCCAGAGCAGCACAGTGCACGGACAGACAGACAGAGGTGACGGAGCCCAGGCAGGGCAGAGACCCAGGCAGTGCGCAGCGCTGTGAGCGACACAGGGCGGGAAGGGCGGAGAGGCTGGGGAAGAGCAGGGAGGGCCACCGGGAAAGGTGCAGAGCGGACCCTCTGAGCCCGTGTGTCTCAGCAGAGACCTGAACCCAGGACACGCGTGGGACTGTCCAGGGAACAGCAAGGGCCAGGCCAGGTGGGGACACCGCACTTGTCCAGGAGCTGCCTGAGGTCCGCTTCACTGGAATTGACCGATAAAGGACAGGAGTGTCAGTGCCCAGGTGCAGAGCTCTGCAGGTCTCAGTCCCATGCATCACTCCGTTCATGCAGCTCGTGAAACCACTGGTCGTTTGCTCAGGGAGGGTCCGAGCTGATGCTGTCACTGCTCACTCTGGAGTCCCTGTGGACTGAGCGATGGTGCAGAGCAGAGTCAAGGAGCAGCCTCTGTCACTCTTCCCTGCTGCAGAGCCCTGAGTATGAGGACCCGCAGGAAATGACCTACACACAAGTGCAACCTTCCAGACGGAGATGTGGCGGGGTCTCCCTTGCTTCCCCCATGTCAAGGCCTTTCCTGGACCTGAAGGACAGACCGCCAGGAGAGGACAGGCAGAAGGACAGACAGGTGAGTGCTGTCCCCTGCAGGTCCTCAGGCTGTCCCAAGCTGCACCCTCATTCCTGATGGCATTCTCACTTCCCCCAGGCAGCTGACCCTGAAGGCCCCCAGGGAGTGACCTACGCCCAGCTGAACAGCTTCAAGCTCAGACAAGGGCCAACTGCAGCCCCTTCCTCCCAGGAAGAGGACACCACAGCTGTGCCCATTGTGTACTCTTGCCTGGCTGTCCATGAGCCCAGGAGAAATGCCAGACCCTGCAGAGCAGGGACTGGCACATGGGGGCCGCAGGAAGGAGACAAGCAGCCCCATGCACATTCAGCTAAGGACCACGGGCAGCCTGGGGTCCTGCGTGGGACCCTGAGGGATTCTAGACATCACCTGAATCTGTAGTCCAAGGGAGCTGAACCAACACATTTAAATATAACAAATTAGCTTAAAAATTAACTAAGAATCACCCAAGGAAATTACAAAGTGATCAATTTATCATAAGATTAAGAGCACACACCAAGCTTACGAAGCATCTATACTTTAACATAAATGCAAGCCTTAAATAAACAAATTGAAACAGAAAAACATTACGGTTTCATGAAAATGGCACTAATTTTGACAAAGTGAGAAATAATGATCAGGGCCAGGGATGTGGCTCACTTGCACAAGCCCCTACCGGTCAAGAGCAAGGTCCTGAGGTCGATTCCGTACCAAAAAAGAAACAAAGATCATAGCAACCAATAGTAACTTAAATTAAAACAGTATAGATATAAACTTGCCCTTAAAAGCTAATAAAGTTTACAACAACCTGGGAACATTGAAAATAAACCAATATTCACAAAAGAAATGCAGAGGAACATGTGTCAGCCTGTGCAGTTCGGGAGACAGTGTTCCCACCAGAAACTCTCCCCCTTTTTTAATTAGAGGAAAATGACAGCACAGGACCCCTGGGTTAAACAGGAACAAATAACACTACCTGGTGTGTAAAAATGTGAGCCAGGTGGGCTTGCCCCAAGGATCACGGCTGTGTGAGTAATTTATACCACCAGTGTATTTTATTGCATTTACAGAAAAAAGGAAAAATGTGTTCACCAGAACAGATGAAAAAAAAATTCTATAGAAAGTCCAGAGTTGTAAACAATTTCAAGTAATAGGATAACTGCTCAATTGAATTGGAAAGAAATTTACAAAGAACCTGGACAGAAAGGAAAAATATTTATCTTTGCCCCAAGAATTAGCAAGGACAGAAAGAACTGAGTCATTGGGCTTCTGGTAAACTTCTCTCCCAAGGCCCAGGCAATGGCCTGAAGGTGAGATGATGATGACACATAGCTATGCAGTGATGGCAGAGACAGCTAAAGGAGCTGTGACTGCAGAAACTGAAAAAGTCATTCCGTGAGGGCACCTTGATTCTGTACCTAGAAAACAGAAACAAAAACCAGGAGGAAAGAAGGTAATAAACGTATCAATATACTAGATTCACAATGAAAATGTGTGACTGCAGACATTTGTGGATTCCGGCAAAAGCAGACAGAGCCCACCCAGCAGGGGAAACAAAGGAGCCCCTCAGCCTGTGCTCCCAGGAAGTCCAGGCGGTGAGGACGCGCACACAGGGACGTGTTAGGAAGGGTTTCCGGGTGGGGAGAGAGAGGCTCGCAGAGGATGAAGAGGACAGACAGGAAGTTAGAGCCAGAGAGAGAAGGGCATCACCGAACTCTCAGGAGGTGACCTAGGACAGTCTCTCAGGGGACAAAGGGATAGTGCACCCCAAGTGGTGTCTCCAGCAGGGTCCTCGTGTGCAGGACACAGGGAGTTCACTGCATCCAGGCCGTGCAGGTGCTATCGGGCGTGCGGGGCCTGGGAGGAAAGGTCACAGGGTGGACGGCTCCCGTCCGTGGGCAGAGCAGCACCGGCTCCGGCCACAGCCACCCTTGTGCCACGCAGAGGGCTCTCCCACCGTGCTCTCCTTGGGCAGATCTTTGCGGTGCTGCCAGGTACCCCCGGGGAAGAGAGATCTCAGTGCGCAGCTCCAGTGGTCACAGCGGGGGCCCCATCTGTCCACTGTCCCCGTGTGTGCAGGAAGACAGGTGGCCCTGGGTGCACGGGCGGGCCCACGGCTCCTGCTGTGAGATCTTCCTGAACCAGGACTGCATGTGTCCTACGAGGCTTTCTAGTAGGAGACAGATGTGTCCATTTGGTGCCATTTTACACGGATCACCTAAAGTCATTATGCCCTAGACCTCAAAACGTGCTAGAGTCCTCCTTGGCCCAGCGTGAAGATTACCCTTGGGATCCAGTGCAGGCACCAGCAAAGCACCGCTCCTCATGCCTGGTGGGAGGGGCTGGTTGCTCCTTCAGTAAGAACCGCACTCCTCTTTTACCGGAGGTCTCTAGACCTGAGGGAAGGTGAGGTTAAATTGGGTGGAGGAGGATCCCTGTCCACTGAAGGAGCTGGTATTCACCTTTTCCTCACTGCACGTAAATCACCAGCACCCTGAGTGACCGTCTGTGTTCACACTGCGTTCACCGTGCTCCGTGAGCCATCAACGCCGGCCCGGCGCTCGCGTTTCCCTGGGTGTCACTCCGCGCTGGGCCGAGTTATGAGCCCCCCCGGCTGGAGCAGGTGAGCGCTGTCACTCGTCCTGGGCCTGCACAGCTTTCAAGTTGGCGTATAGAAGCCTCATCCGCGGGAAGAGGGTCTACATGCGCCTCCCCCTCAGGTCCGGGTGATGACCCCAAAGCCTCACGCACTCAGAAGTGCGGCTTCGGGGAGGAGCCTGGACCGCGGGCCTGGATCGCGGCTGTGTGACACTGGAGTCGTCGCTGATGGGTTCACAGCTGGGTGTGATGTCGGCAGGGCAGCCTGGTGGGAAGAGGTGGTCACCGTGAGCGTGGGCGGGAAGCTCACAGCCTCCCGCCTCCCCGACCCGCTCTCTGCTTCTTTCCCGCCACACCGTGGACTGTTTCTCCTCCCCCACTCCCCCTGCCTTGGGGCCAGCCGACTGTGCCCTGAAACCTCTACAAACTGAGCCAGAATATCCCTTTCCTCCTTTAACTTGTTGGTGTCCAGAACTTTGTCCCAGCAAGACAGCCAGGAAGACAACCACCAGGAGGGGGCAGCAAATCCCCCCCTCTGGGTCTGATGCCTGTGTTGAGTATGCGATGACTGAGCTCCTAGCACCTCTGTCTGAGGACTCAGAATGTCTGACTGACTTAGGTGGAATATCCCACCTCCTATTCTCCGGTCAGGGCAACCAGCTACCCATGAACTCGGGGGAAGGCAGCACGTGGCCATGATACCCAGTGTGAAGGCTGGGTGGAGGGTAACTCCCAGCGCAGCCCTGGTGCTGATGGGCTGACAGACATGGGACTGTCCCCTCAGGAATGATGGGGCAAGGAGCTGGGGCAGCACTGCAGCTCGGGTGTGTTTTCTGATGTAATGGATGTAGGGGTGGAGGCTGTAACCACAGACTTTGCAAATATAGTTAAATACTGATATTGTTAGAGATTAAACGGCCACTAGATGCTGCCTCTTGACTGGTGGGATCCACGGCCTCAGGAGCAAAAGGGGAGCACACTGAGGGGCCTCCATCACTCTCGACCCCACACAGGAAATGTGCAAGTCCTGCGCCTGACCTTAGGGGATGCTGGGTTAGAAGCCCTCCCAGTGGGAGACTTACCACTAATAAATTCAAGATACCTGTGAGTAAGCTGTGAGAAGAAGGAACAGCTCAGGGTACCATGCCCTGGAAGGGGCCCACTTGGGAGGGCTCCGGGTCTATTGGCTGCTGTGTCCTGGCATCAATGCGGTGAGGATCAGTCAGGAACACTTGGAAGGAAGGGGAACTCCACCTCCACCTGGAGCCCAGCCAGCCTCTGCCCTGGAAAAAAACAGCCCGGGTGTCTGCGGATGTCAGCTCCGCTTCCTGTGGGCTCCTGGCCTGCCCACCCTGTGAAGGGCAGACACCAGTCCCCAGCTGCAGAACTCTGTGTGTCAGGCACTGTGGTCTCATCCGTCCACAGTCTCACCTGGAGGTAGGAGACGCCATGACAGCCGCACTCACGGCCCTGCTCTGTATTGGTGAGAACTGAACGTGGGATGGGAACCCCTAGACTGGAACCCCACAGCCAGGCCCTAGCCCATGAGGTGAAGAGGAGCTCAAGGGTTCTGGGGAGCAGAGGACCTTCTCAGGCTCCAGGGTGAAACTCTCACAGGGAACTCTCTTCCAGGGCTGAGTCCGGGCCCCAGGAGCCGAGTGCAGGCAGGTGAGTGTGTGCCCAGCTATTCTGGGTCCTCCTCCTCCTGGGAACAAGGGGCTGCTGCTGGGCAGTGGAGATGCAGCACAGCAGGTGAGGGTCAGTGCTGGGAGGTCTGGAGGGTCCTGGGGCTGAGAGCTGGGATCTGAGAGGAGGAGGAAGGTCCTGGGACCCAGCTGTGATTTCCCTGCAGGGACCCTGCCCAAACCTGAGCTCTAGGCTGTGCCAGGATCTGTGATACCATGGGGAGAACCTGTGACCCTCCAGTGTGAGGGGACGCTGGGGCCCAGGAATATGATATACAAAGAGGGAAGCTGATCGCCCTGGACAAGACAAGCACCACTGGAGCTCAAGAACAGAGCCATGTTCTCATCCTGTGACAAAGCACCATGCAGGGCAACATCGCTGTTACTGGAGTGTAACACTACAATGATCCCCTGGAGCTGGTGGTGACAGGTGAGGGGACACTCAGGGTCCCAACCCCAAGCTCTGCCCTCAGGAAGGGGTCTGCTCTCAGGGGTGTCTCCTCTCACAGCCCAGCCCTGGGGACAGTGTGGGAGGTGTGAGTCCATTTCACACGCTGCCCCTTCTCTCGTGGGAGTCTACAGCAAACCCAGCCTCTCAGCCCTGCCCAGCCCTGAGGTGACCTCAGGCGGGAACGTCACCCTGCAGTGTGGCTCAAGGCTGGGATATGACAGGTTCGTTCTGACTGAGGAAGGAGGAGACAAGCTCTCCTGGTCCCTGGACTCACAGCAAAGCCTCGCTGGGCAGGTCCAGGCCCTGTTCCGTGTGGGCCCTGTGACCCCCAGGCAGAGGTGGCTGTTCAGGTGCTACAGCAGTGACAGGAGCAAACCCCAAGTGTGGTCAAAATCCAGGGACACCCTGGAGCTCCTGGTCTCAGGTAAGGATGTCCCTTCTTTGACTCAATCATATTGAGTCCCAAAATAATTGACAGGGGCTATAATTCAGAGGGCCCCTAAGAGGAGGTTGGCTCAGGACATCTACAGAGCTAGGAACCTCAATGTGACAGTCAGAGAGACACAGGCAGAACATGAGGGGTGGGGCATGGCAGAAACCAGCCCCTCAGCCCAGCTCCTCCTCCCTCCAGGGCTGTCCAGGAAGCCCTCCCTCCTGACCCAGCATGGCCCTGTCCTGGACCCTGGACACAACCTGACCCTCCAGTGTTGCTCTTCCCTCAGCTATGACAGATTCCCTCTGTCCAAGGAAGGAGCAGGTGACATTCCCCAGTGCCCTGGGGGCCGCTACAGATGCTACGGTGGACACAGCCTCCCCTCCGAGTGGTCGGCCCCCAGTGACCCCCTGGACATCCTGATCACAGGTGAGGAGCCCAGGGCTCAGTCAGGGACCCAGACCCTGCCCAGGCCCTGCTGGGGGAGCCCAGGAGGTGATGGCCAGGGTGGGGGTGGGTGTCAGGGAGGGAGGGAGAGAGACGGGGGAGGGCAGGAGGGGCAGAGTCAGGGGAAGCAGAGACAGGCAGAGACCGAGGGTCCTCAGAGACAGCCCTGCTGCGGCCTCCGCTCAGAGCAAGCTGGGGCCGCCCTCACCACCCTCCTTCTCTGCAGGACAGCTCCCGGGCACACCCTCCCTCTCGGTGCAGCCGGGACCCGCGGTGTCCTCAGGAGAGAGTGTGACCCTGCTGTGTCAGTCACAGACCTGGATGGACACTTCTTACTGTCCCAGGAAGGGGCAGCCAATCCACCCCACTACATTTGAGATCAGAGTCCCGAGCTCAGCAGTCCCAGGCAGAATTCTCCATGAGAGCTGTGAGCTCAGCCCTCAGGAGCTACAGGTGCTATGGCTCTCCCAGACCCTTCCCCCACTTGCTGCCACAGCTGTGCCCCGTGGAGCTCGCAGCCTCAGGTGAGAGTCCTCACCCTGTCCTCCCTGAGCTTAGAGGTTCATCAAGGCCTGTATCCAGGAGTGTGTGATAGCATAAGTCTCGATGCTGTGAAGGAGACTACTTAGAAAACCTCCCAGCTGGGATGCTCTGAGACAGAGAGGACTTTTGCCACTTTGGCTCCCGTGCCAGCTGGTCCCCATTCTGCAGAGGCTCACACGGTATTAAAATGTAGGGAGGGACAGAATGAGACCCGGGCAAACCTCGCAGGAAGCAGACTGAGCCTGACAGTGGAGAGCAGGGGCCACGCCCCTGTCCTGATTTCTCGTCACAGTCGGGTCCTCCGCCATCCCAGGCCCTCTGGACAAGACAAGCACCACGGGAACTCAAGAACAGAGCCATGTTCTCATCCTGTGACAAAGTGCCATGCAGGGCAACATCGCTGTTACTGGAGTGTAACACTACAGTGAGCCCCTGGAGCTGGCGGTGACAGGTGAGGGGACACTCAGGGTCCCAACCCCAAGCTGTAGGTTCAGGAGAGAATGTTTACAATACGATGTTTACACATGCAGGTCTGATGTATTTCACTTATGAGTATGGTCTCGAGTTGCATCCATTTACCTATAAAAGTCTCCAGTTTATCCTTCTTTACAGCTGAGGAGTACTCCATTGTATACAAAGACCACATCTTTTTTATCCATTCCTCCGTGGATGGGCATTTGGGTTGTTTCCAAGATTTAACTATGACAAATTGTGCTGCTATAAACACAGATACACATATATCACTATGGTATGATGTTTTTAATTCTTCTGGGAAGATACCCAGAGGGAGAATGGCTGGGCCAAATGGGACCTCTAATCCTAGCTTTTCAGGGATCTCCACACTGATTTCCTCATTTCCTGTCAGTCTCCCCAGTGGTGAGTGTGGGATATGAAAAATGATCATTCCATCTATAGACATGACATTTTCATGTCATTTTCTTTTTCTAACACAACTGTGACGGAATGCGTTCATTGTTTCTTGAAAGTTATCCCATATGCATATATGGGATAAATCTCGCTTTGTGTGCAGCATAATTCTTTCTATAAAACGTGGCTCTCAACTGTCCAGCACAGTCACGCATCACAGATGACAGGGTGTGTTCTGAGGAAGCCTCCTGGGGTTATTTTCATCACTAGGCAGACCCCAGCGACAGAGTGTATGCACACTGACTACGGTGACTATGATGCCACAAGGTGACCGTCTAGTGACACAACCGTCATGCGTGTGGTCTGTCATTGAAGGAAGCGTCTTTATATGGAACACTAATAAATTGTGCTCAGGATTCTGCAACCACGACCATAAAAGTGTTGTTCTGTGGTTTCCTGTTCTAGTAATGCCTTTGTCTCCTTTGGTATCGGAATAAACCCAGTTGGTAGAATGAGTTAGACAATGTCCTTCTACTTCTAGCCTTTGAAACAGAGAGCAGAGGAGAACGAGACAAATTCTTAAAGTCTGGTAGAATTCACCTGTGCACCACCTGTGGCTTCCTTTCTTCATGGAGACCTGACTCACTGATCGATGTCTCTGTCTTCTTGTTTTTAAGAGGTTGATCATTTTCAGATCATTTCATCAGTGCATGGTTCCAGTATGTAATGTGTGCATTTCTCCCGAGAAGCTGGCACCTGGACATCACACTTCTAAATTCCTTTTTCATTCCCCTTCCCACACCTCCCTCATTCTGTTGATCCCCTTCCCATGTGAGAAAGCTTTGTCCCCCTACTTCTTATTATCTTTTATTTTGCTCTTTCTTTATATTTTGAGTTTCTCATATAAGAGAAACCATGCAGTATTTAAGCTTGTGTGGCTGATTTATTTCACTTAACATCATGGTTTCAATATGCATCCATTTATCTACAAATGACTCAAGATTGTCTTTCATTAAGGCAGAGCAGCACTCCATTGCATGTAAATACCACATTTTCTTTATCATTCTTCTGTGGATGGACACATAGGCCACTGCCAAGATTTATCTGTTATGAATTGTGCAGCTATAAACATGGGTATATGTATACTACAATAATCTGATCTCTCCCTTTTTACGGGGGATATCTAGAGGGGGTGATAGGGCAAGAGAGACTCCACTTTCTGTTTGTCACATAAGTTCACTTAAGCTATAGTTGACCTCACTCTTTACTCCCTCCCCTTGGTTAGTTATCAACCCACTTAAAGGAGAGCAGAGTCATAAAATGGGAACAGGACAAACAGGACAAATTGGGAAGTAGGCTAAAAGTTAAACTGCAGTGGTCAACTTCTGGGAAAGGTAAACCTTGTGACCATCACGTGCCATTCTTGTAAAATTCCCAAAAATGAGATAATGGTTACTATGGAAACCTAAAAATGTACTTAAACAGAAGGTGAGACCCAGATAGGGTCAGACATCTTCTCTGGCTCCTGTTTAGAGACTGTCCATCAGCCGGCTCAATAAAGCTTTCTTCGTTGCTGCTCTTTCAGTCTCTTGTGAATATCTGTCTCATTGAACTCACCGTCATATTCAGGAAATAGCTGAGTGAAAGAGAATTTCTACTTTCAGTTTCTTAGCTAATATCCACAATGGTTTCCAGTGTTTGCACTGCTCACAAGTTCCCTCAAAATTTGCTTGTTTGAGAAAGTTTTCCCTTTTTTTCCACTGTGCAGGATAATTTCTCAGGATTAGAGAGTCTAGGTCGGTCATTTATTTCGGTCATCCCTTGAACTATCCCACAACACTCTTCCTCATTGCACAGTTTCTGGGCAGTCCTGTGCAGTTCTTATCTTTGTCCCGGTATACCTGAGGTATGTATCCCCATTCTCTTGGCTTCTTTCAAGGTTTTATCACTGTCTTTGATGTCCTGCAGTCTGAGATCACAAGGTTGGTGACGTTTTCCTGTGTTTACCCAGGGTGCTGTTCCATGAGCTCCCTGGATCTGTGGTTTGATATTGACCCTCAACTTGGAGAGATTTTCAGTCATGGTCTCCAACCATCATCTGCTTCCTTCTCCTTTCTGCCCCACTGGATCTCCCATGACATCGGTGTCACCCCTTCCTCTTCGATCCTTCAATATTCTGACATGGTTTCTCAGTCCTTGTTCCTGTTCAGTTCTGAGTTCCTATGATACATCCCCAGGCTTAGAGGGTTTCCTTCTGGTCATATCTAGTCTACTATCACCCACAGCAAGGCATCGCTGTGTTCACTAGAGGGTGTTTGGATCTCTGTGGCCACATCCACGTTCTCTCTTGGGTTCCCATCCATCCACGTGCACAGCCCAGCTGTTCTTGCTGCTGTTGGTGTGTCCATCACTGTTGCTTTAAATCCCTCTTCTGACAAGTCCAGAGTCTCTTCCTTGTCTCATTGCTCTTTTCACTTTTTCCCTTTGGACACGCCTTGTAGTTTATTTTGAACAGCTAGAATGACTTCCCAGATGAAAGAAGCTGCTCTCACCAGGCATTAGTGATGCTCTGGTGACATGCGGGGACCTATCTCTTCCCTGATCTGACCATGGCTGAGCCTCCCCATGTCCGGGCACCATTGACCCCGTACCTGCTCTAGAACTGAGGTAAGTACAGCAGGCTGCCACTAAGGATGCTAGGGCTCAGAAAGAGATGCTGAGGTCCAGGCAGCATGGACAGAGAATGATGACCAGGCATGAAATTTAAATCAGCCATCACCCAATACAGGAGAATTCTACCCAGGAAGCAGGGACTCTGAGGCTGCGAGAATGGCTCAGAACTTTGTTCACAGGGAGATGGGATTGGACTCAGTGTACTGAAAAACAGAAGTCTACAGAGGGGAGAGTTTAACACAGGAAACCTGAACCTACAGTCAGGAAATGGGCAGCTTTGCTTGGCGTCTCCTTCTGATCCTATCCCCAGGACGCAGCCCCAGGGAGTTGCCCAGTCAGGGCTCAGCATGTCTTGCTCTCGTCCACCTGCAGAAGAGGAACTTGCACTGTCCCTGGAGTATCTCCAGGGGTGGGAAACAACTGCCATGATGAGGAGCACCATGCTGTGCAGATGGATGAGCTGAGGGAGGGAGGAGACCCGTGGGAGGGTCTGAGGGGGAGGACCAGCCCTGGCCACCGTCCTTGGAAGGGGCCACCTCAGAACATTTCCCCGTCTGTTCACTGCTGTGTCCTGAAACTTAGGGACATGAAGCTAAAACAGGAAGACTCAGAAGGTGGAAAAAAACACACGATATTTCATGCCTGGCCAGCCCTGTGGATTGTGAGGAGGGAAGTTCGAATTCTTGTGCGACTGATGATGTGACAATCCCAAAATGGGCAGAACCCACTACCAAGTAGCCACACCCCTTGTGTCTGTGTGACCTGCCAGGCAGTGAGGTCATAGCCATCTGCAGAGCCATGACCAGTGGTTGGAGACACCATGACCCCCACCCTTCCAGCCTTGCTCTGCCTGGGTGAGAAGGGATGAGGGGAGGATCAGGCTCATTTGGGAGGGTGACCACCCAAAGCCAGACCCTGGTCCATCAGGAGACCAGGGCTCAGGAGGCTCTGGGGAGGAGAGAAGCTGCTCCAGCTCCAGGGCAAACCTCTCACAGGGAACTCTCTTTCAGGACTGAGTCTGGGCCCCAGGACCCGAGTGCAGGCAGGTGAGTGTGTTCCCAGCTGTCCTGGGTCCTCCTCCTCCTGGGGACAGGGGGCCACGCCTGGGCAGTGGGGATGGAGCACAGCAGGTGTGTTCAGGCACTTGGAGGTGTAGAGGGTCTTGGGGCTGAGAGCTGGGATCTGAGAGGACGAGAAAGGGCCTGATGCCCAGCTGTGATTTCCTTGCAGAAACCCTCCCCAAACCCAGGCTCTGGGCTGAGCCAGGAACTGTGATACCACGGGGGAAGCCTGTGACGCTCTGGTGTGAGGGGATCCTAGAGGCCCAACAGTACTATCTGGAAAAAGAGAAAATACCAGTGCCCTGGGAAACAAAGATGACCCTGGAGTCTGGGAACAAGGCCAATTTCTCCATCCCATCCATGGCCCAGCACTATGCAGGACGATATGACTGCTACTATCTGAGCCCTTCTGGCTTATCACTGCACAGTGACCCTCTGGAGCTGGTGGTGACAGGTGAGAGGACAGTCAGGGTCCCAGCCCCAGGCTCTGCCCTCAGGAAGGGCTCTGCTCTCAGGAGCGTCCCCCTCTCACAGCCCAGCTCTGGCAACAGTGCAGGAGGTGTGAGTCCATTTCTCACGCTGCCCCCTTCTCTCCTAGGAATCTACCACAAACCCAGACTTTCAGCCCTGCCCAGCCCTGTGGTGCCTGCAGGAGGGAATGTGACCCTCCAGTGTGGCTCACGGGTGGGATTTGACAGATTTATTCTGACTGAGGAAGGAGAAGACAAGCCGTCTTGGACAGTGGAGTCACAACGAGGCCGCAGGGGACAGGTCCAGGCCCCATTCCGGGTGGGCCCTGTGACTCCCGGTCACCAGTGGATATTCAGATGCTATGGCTTTGTCTGGAGCATACCGCAGGTGTGGTCAGAGCCCAGTGAGCCCCTGGAGCTGGTGATCGCAGGTGCGCTGCCTGTGACCGCAGCATGGCTGAGCTCAGGATCCCTCTGTGCCATCTCCCAGGACAGCTCTGGGGTGGGTGGGCATGAAGGGCTCTGGGGAGGACCACCCAGAAGGGAGACACATCACCTCCCATCCTTCCTCTCTGGAATATGCCTGTGGGCAGAGGCCAGTCTCAGGGAGGCCACAGCACAGGGAGAGGAGAGGGCAGAGGTCCATTCCTGGGGCAGCCCAGCCCCATGTCCCCCTCAAGTCCTCATCCCCAGGATGGGCCCCACCCCACCCTCAGCGCCCAGCTCCACAGCAGGAGAGTCTTAGGCTCTGTCCCAGTGTCCTGTCTCCAGGCTGCCTGGAGACTCCAGGCCCATCCCAGTCCTGGTTCCAGTCTCAGCTCTGCTGGTGTCTGGGGACAGAATGGGAAAGGAAGCTAGATACCCAGAGCTGCATGGGATGGTTTCAAAGCTGCGGTCGAGCCTGAAGATGAGCAGCAGCTGAAGTGGGGAACAGGGACCCCAGCCCCTCACCTCCCCATCCCTCCTAGGAGGCCATGACCATCAGCCCCTCAGGCCAGAGTTTGGACCCAAGGGTGGTGAGTGAGGGCGCTCCTGGGAGGGTCCGGGGTGGGGCTGGCTGTGGGGCGGGTGCAGCCTCCTCTGGAGATGCTGACTCGGACCAGCCCCTCCTGTGTGGGCCTCAGTTTCTCCAGGGGTAAAGGGGAGGCCTGGCCCTGACCTTCCAGTTCTTCTTGGTGCTGACCTTGCTGTGAGCCCTGGAGAGGCGGCCTCCCAGGGAAGCCTCCAGCACCCCACACTGCAGGGGTCCTGTCCCTCTGTGCAGTGACGGTGACAGTGGGGGTGGGTGCAGGCCCAGGGCAGGGTGTCCAGGCTCCTTCCCTCCAGATCAGCAGGCTCAGCTCTGCTGGGGAGAGCAGGGCTGGAAGTCCAGCTCCCCAGGTTCATCCCCTTCTGGGTTTGTTGTGTGCTGGCAGCCCCCCCCCCCGTCTCAGCCTCCTTCTCTTCCTTGGTGACCTGCATGAGGGGGTGGCAATCCCGTGTGCAGGACTGTGAGGGTGTGAGGTGGGGGATGCGAAGACCCTACGTAGGCTGGGCACACCAGGTGCTCAGTGAGGTGGCAATGTTTCTCTTGAAGGCGACCCTCCAGGCATAGGCCTGCAAGGGTACTTGAAGGTCGTGCTCTGGGTCTCCGTGGCTGTCACCCTGCTGCTGCTGCTTCTCCTCTTCCTCTTCCTTTTCTTTCGATACTGGTGTCGGAGAAGAGGCTGGTGGGCACGTGAGTAAGAACAGTGGGACTTGGGCCTCAGAACGCTGTAAGTGCCGTGGTCCACAGGGAAACCTGTCAGAAGGGACAAGTCTGCATAGCATCTTCAGTGCAGAACCCAGAGCAGAGAATCCAGAGCAGAACACATAGCCCTGTCCCTGTAGGAATCTCCAGTGTGGTCTGAGCTTCTCCACCTCAGGCTGCACCGGCTTCCTGGTCCCTGTGGCCCGAGGCTTCCTCCTGCCCTGCACGGCCTGCGGAGCGGGTGGTTCTGACCTCCTGGCTGAGACTCTGTCCATCTCCCAGCCCAGAGAGAGGCCAAAGTCCCACATCCTGCAGGAGCCACAGGGGAAATGTGCTGAGACAGAGGCCTGCAGGAGAGGTCATTCCTGCCCTAGGTCCTGGATTCCCCCCCTACCGCCCTTCACCTGACACCTCCTTGTCTCCCAGCTCCAGCCCAGCCACTGCCACCCAGGAAGAAAACCTCTGCGAGAGGAAAAGAAGTGTGGTGTGGCAAACACACCGCCTCTCAGCATCACAGGGGCAGGCGGAGGCTGGGGCTCAGGCCTGAGGCAGACTGAACCCTGATATCTTGAGCCTGGGGACATCTCACAGCTGCCTGGCTCTGTGTCCCCAGCTGGACAGGGCAGGGCCTGCAGGGCTGAGAGACCCCGGGACACTGGCCACGAGGTGACCCCTCTTCTGTCCCTGCAGATGCCGCTGTGAAGGACACAGAGCCTGAGGACGGGGTGGAGCTCGACACTAGGGTGAGACCCCCCCATCCAGGGCACAGGGACTTCCTGTCCCCCAATTTAGTTCAAGGTGCTGCTCCGTCCTCCACCACTCAGCTCCCAGGGACCTCACAGCTGCGCCTCCCTTCTGGAACCCTGGGCCTCTGCCTGCTGTGACCCCACCCTCTGCTGGTTTCCTGTGACCTCAGGTCCCCTCCCTCTGTCCCCTTCCTGGCCCTCACTCAGCCTCTGTCTGGCTGTTCCCTGCTCAGGTCTCAGAAGCATCCTGAGTGAATGAGCCACCCCACACCCCCGAGGCCTCTCCCTCATTCATGCAGCATTCACAGGGTGGGGGGCTCCCTCTTGACCCGGCTCCATGGGGGCTACAGATACAGCAGTGAGCACAGTCCCCTCCCTCCCTGAGTCACCTCGAGGTTGGAAGCCGGTGTCAGAGAGCACAGAGATGGGAAAGAACATAAAGCAGAGAACGGGTGCAGGGGCAGGAGGGCCAGTGAGAATCGCAGGGAGGACCCTGGTAAGGTGACCACTGAGCAGAAGCCTGCATGGAGAGGGCCACAGGGACCTCTAATGTACCAGCAGCACTTCAGGCAGAGAACAGGGCAAGTGCAAAGGTCCTGAGGCAGGGACGGGCTCCTTCAGGAAGATGGGCCATGCGGCTGCAGCCCAGGAGGCAGGCTCCAAGGGTCAGGACACAAGGGCAGCACTGCAGGAAGGAAGCGGCCAGACATCTGAGGCCTTAAGAAGCCTCTGAAGGTCCATGAGGAAGGGACAGAGTGTGATCTAATTTCTAAAGGAGACCTGTGGCTGCCCTGTGGAAAACTGGCTGGAGACCAGCATGGAACCAAGGAGACCCCATCTCTATCTCTGTCTCCCTGCTGCAGAGCCCACCTGCTGAGGACCCCCAGGGAGTGACATACGCCCAGGTGAAGTACTCAGCACCCAGGAGAGGGGTCTTCCCTCCTACGGGCCTGTCAGGACAGCTCCTGGACATGAAGGATGGACAGGCAGGGGAGGACAGGCCAATGCACGCTCAGGTGCGTCCTACAACTTTCAGACCCCAGTCTTTGCCTGCACCAAGCCCAAACCTCATCTCTCCCTATCTCGCCTGCAGGTTTCTGCCCCTGAGGGTCCCCAGGATGTGACCTACGCCCAGCCGGGCAGCGGCACACTTAGACACGAGACAGCTGCCCCTCCTTCCTCCCAGGATGGGACCCTCCCAGCAGAGCCCAGTGTGTAAGCTGCTCTGTTAGAGACACCTAACAGAGACCTCCAGAGATCCTGAGACCTTCTGAGGCTCACCTGACTCTAGTCAGAGAGAGCTCACACCTCTGTGTGCTGGAAATAAAACCAGAGACTCTTCAATAATCAGTGCATGGAAAGAGAAGTGAAACCAAGGGAGAGAATGTTTTGAAATGAATGATGATGTTGATGATAACATGGTCCAACACAACTAGGAAATGAGGTAGTTAAGAACCATGGATGAATATATTAGAGAACACTGTAAAAATCATTGAAGCAAGATGTGACATGAAAAAATTTAGAGCTGGGCATGGTGGCACATGCCTGTAATCCCAGCATTTGGGAGGCTGAGGCAGGAGGATCATCACAAGTTTGAGGCCATTTTGGGCTAAAAAGTGAGCTCAAGGCCAGCCTTAACTGCATAGCGAGACCCTGTCTCAAAGAGACAAAAAAAAAAAAAAAAAAAAAAAAAAAAAAAAAAAAAAAAAAAAAAAGGAAAAACCTAGAAAAAATATGTGAAATAACTCTAAATAAGGTAAAAGAAAAATTAATAATATTAACTACTAATGAGGATTTTTTAAAAGTCCACACATTTCAACATCAGAAATAGCAGACATCAAGACAGATCCCACATGTGTTTTATAGACATAACTACAGGATATTATCAATAACTTTCTGCCAACATCTCACAAGATGTAGATGACATGGATGAAATCCCCCACACACAAATTACTCAGTGGAGATAAAGATAAACAGAAAATATGAATTATCTCATGTGTGTTGAACACTTTGACCTTGTAATTAAAACACTTCCCTGTGCAAATTGTAGTTCAGTAATCTTTGTTGCTAATATCTTTCACTTTCAAGAAATACAAATCACAAACTTCCACAGGCATTTCTTGCAAACAGAAAAAAAGAAAAGCCCAACATATTTATCAGACCAGGAAAATTATTATACCAAGAGTTGACAAGGAAACTGCAAAATGGGAAAGTCACGTGCAGAACTCCCACATCCACCTAGATTTGAGTCCCTGAAAATAGCACTTCGGTCAGACGTGGTGGCCGTCGCCTGTCACCTCAGCTACTTGGGAGGTAGAGGCAGGAAGGCCCAAAGCTTGAGCCCAGCCCGGACAACTCAGCAAGACCCTGTCAGGAAATAAATCAAGAAGGGCTGGGGACAGAAATAAGTGCTCTCTGTGTTCAATCCAAAGTCACCCCTCAAAAAAAAGAACAATTTTCAGTGATATACGTAAAAGAAAATACCTCATGATAATACACATGAGGTTTTTAAAATTTGTTTTCGTTTGATAGGCAAGAGTAGCTTAAAATTTAAAAGTACGTAGACATAATGAGACACATTCACACTACTCGCAAAAGTATCCTATCAATAGGTGCACAGAAGCCTTTCATAAATCACTCGTAGTAAAAATAAAATTCATCACACTGAAGGAGAACTTGCCACCAGTTACAAGATTGTTTAAAACCCCCTCCCCCTCCGCTTAGCGTGAGACCCTGACGTCTGCCCCCAGGCGGGGAACAGCCCGAGGGTGCTCCCTGTGGGCTTCTCTTCAGCACAGCCGGTTACATAAGCGCGGCTGGAGAGCGCGGGTGTGGGTGAGCGTCACACTGCGTCACTCACAGCCAGACAATAGTGTGAATGGGACACAAAATGACACAAAGTCACTTTTCTCAAATCAAAAGGGGGCATTTTCAACATCCCTGGGATGCTAGGCCAGTATGCCCTGATCAGCTGCACATCACACTTCCAGCTCTGGGCGGAGATAAAGTGGAAGGATGTCTCTCCACTCCTTTGACTTTACCCAAAGAGGCTGGTTTGGACACAGGACCTCTCAAGTTGTAAGATAACACATTTGCTTTGATTTCACTATTGTTTGTGGTCATTTGTTATAGCAGCAACCAAGAAATGAATACAGTCACATACTTTTTCACAATGTCTCAGGGTTTGGTTTGGTTTAGTTTGGCTTGGTTTGGTTTGATTTGATTTGATTTGGTTTTTGTTGGTTTGGTTTGGTTTGGTTTTTGGTTTTTTGAGGCAGGTCTCATTATGTAGTTCAGGCTGGCCTCAAACTCATGGCAGTCCTGCCTCATCCTCCAAAGTGCTGAGATTATCAGCATGTGCCACTGTGCCAGACATGTCTCAAGTTTTTAGACAGAACATCTCATGACCATTTCTCCAATCACAGTACCTAGGTACCTGTGAAATCAATGAGAATAAGAAATAGAGACACATGATGTTCTGGGAGGCTAGGATGTAGGGATAGGTCCCTTGGTCAGGTGTTGGCCTAGCATCACACTGGGTTATCCTCTTTAAAATGGATAAGATGGACAACCTGGAGCTGGCACTGCCATTCTGGTGCTCTCCTCAATTCAGTGCTCTTTTTCTAGACCCAGATAGACCTAGACACAGAAATGCACAGATGTTGCCACAGCTTTAGCTGTCCCTCCTAAGCTCGTGCTGTAACTTGGTCTCCAGTGTGGTAGTATTAAGAGGTGGGTCCTCCAGGGAAATGATTAACTACGAAAACTCTGGCCTCACAGATCAGATTAATCAGGGTGTGAGCTGAAGGGGTCCTACTTGCCCTTCTACCTTCTGCGGTATGAGCTGCCATCTTGGATGCAGACAGCAGATGCCATCCTTGCTCCTGGGCATCTCAGCCCACACAACTGTGAGAAATACCTTCCTGTTCATTATACGCATTCCGTCTCGGGGAGTTGTTACAGCAGCATCAGGGATGGACGCAGACACGAAGCAGTGGTATCTCTGACTCACCAGGGAATAAAGAAGACCAGGACCGGTGGCCTCGGCCGCCATCCTGCCATGTGACACACAGGAATCCTGTACATCCTGTGCCTGCATTTTCCCATGCTCCTGAGTAAGAGGATCCTCTTTCCAGGGGAAAATCCTAGCAGAGAAGCCCCCAAAAAGATTGATGTAAATGTCGTTATGTTTTTCCAATTTTCCTT